TCCCGGATCCTCACTTCCCTTCCTGCAGCCTCTGTAGTCTCATTTCTCTAGGCTCCATTTTCTTGCCTGTGTGCTGGGGATGGCAAGAGCCCTGAACATAGAGTTACTGAAATGTAGTGAAATGTACACATTGAGTGTTTAGCTAAGGGGCTGGAGAAATGATGGCTCAGCGGTTAAGAGCACTGGCTGCTCTTCCAAAGGGCCTGAGTTCAATTCCCAGCACCTACATAGCAGCTCACAACTGTCTGTAACTCCAGTTCCAGGGGATCTGACACCCTGAAGCATATACAAGCAGGTGTTCTACCTGCTTGTATATGCTTCATTTAAAAAAACTTTTTCAAAGTATTTAGCTCAGTTCCCAGCATAGAGTGATCATATTAAAGTTAGAGAAGCCTCCCAGGGCGACTGTAAGCACTCTCTTCCTTGCTTTATGTTTTTGTAAAATTCTTCTGTTGTTTTTTGGAGACAGGGTTTCTCTGTGTAGCCCTGGCTGTCCTGGGGGGCTGGCCTTGAACTCAGAGATCAGCCTGCCTCTGCCTCCTGAGTGCTGGGATTACAGGTGTGTGCTATCACTGCCCAGCTTTTTTAGGGTTTTTGTTACTAGTTCACATAGGCTTATTTCTGTCATTCTTGACTAAGATGTCAAGTAAGGCTGGGGTGTAACTCAGTAGTAATTGTGTGTGCAGTGTGCATGGAGGCCTGGGAGCCTCAGGGCCTCGAACAGAAAGGCGCACTGCAAGCTAGAATTTTGACTTTTATTTCCTCTGTGTTCTCAGGCCCTGGAGCAGAGTTTTATGTAGTGGAGCTCAGATACAGTGTGCGCTGTAAGAACAACCGGAAGCTGTTAGTGTAAGGCTGCTTAAAAAGTCGCCGAAAAATGCCAGGCCTAGTCAGAGGGCAGGATCAGTGGGGAAAGCCTGGGAACAGCCTCGCCTTGACCCTCAGGACCCGCCTGGTGGAAGGAGGGAGCGCACAGATGCTGAAATATCTGTATGTACCTACACACACACACACACACACACACACACACACACACACACACAGAGGCATACACACATACCCACATACATACACACACACCAGCATATACACACATACATACAGACATACACACGTATACACAGAGAGAGCGGCATACCCACATACAAACACACACACACAAATAAGCAAACGTGCTGGTTGTTGAAGCACACGCCTTTAACCCTGTCGGAGGTAGCTGGCCTCTCTTTTCGTTACAGGCCAGCCTGTACATGGTTCCAGGGCTGCACAGGGTAAGAACCCGGCCTCAAACAACAAAGCAAAAGTTGAAGGGCAGCCTGGGACACATGAGCTCTGAAGCTTCGACTCTAAAGTCGTTTATCTAGGGAACAGCTGGCCTCTGGTTGTTGTGTTCCAGAAGTCTTCCGAGGTGGGGCGTTGGCATCGGCTTCTCACCAAGGACGGAGCGTGGGAGGGCGCAGCCCAGGCCCACCTCCTTCCTCTGACAACTGCTCTCGGTTGGCCCATCTCGTCAGTTTCTCTTCTCTGTCGGCAGCTGCCCACTTCAGGTTGCAGCACTGTGGCTGTGGAGCCCGGCCGCCATGCTGACGTGGCCCCAGCTCCCAGGGTGTGGGGCTGGGTGCTGGTGCTCACAGGTGGTTTCTTGGGAGTTCTGTGTTCTTTTGTGTCTCTGAGGTGACGGTGTGTTCTGAGGGTGTCATTCTTCCTCCTCCTCTGTGTTGCTGTAGTGCAAGCGTTGTTGGGGAAGCTGGCGGCAGGCGTACGTCTGCCGAGCAGCGTGGACTGCTGCGGTGTGCTGACACTCTGGCTGTGCACAGGTTGGCCACAGATGTCACAGGAGAGGACTGGGAGGACTGGCGTGCGGTGGGGACACTCAGTGGCTTCCCCAGACAGTGACCGAAGGCGGGGAATTTGAAAGCCTGTGGTACTTGATGTCCAGCGTTGCTTTGGCAAAGTGATAACAGGGCGGTGGCAGACACCACGGCTGGAACCTGGTGGTGGTCAGCCGTCCCCCTGTTGTAGAACGCGACAGACCGCCAGGGCCTTAGGGGCCCGTGAAGAACCAGCTCTTTGGGAAATGGAGGTCCATGCATGCATGTGCGCACTTGTGGGCACGCAAGCACGTACCTGTGGAAGCTGGGGACGTTGGCTGTCGTTTCCTCCACCTGCCCCCTCGGCTGGCCGGTCCCTGAGCCCTGGGGTCTGTGGAAAGCTGTTCCTAGAGAGCTGTTCCCGCGGAGCTCCTCCTGACCTGAGCTCACCTCCTCCGTGCACATCAGGTGCCGTCACCTGCTAGGCCAGCCCTGGAGCTCCGAAAGGGAGCTCCGGGTGGAGGGGGGATGGCCTTGGCCCCCATGGGAGGCCGGGTAGGGCGGCCCTGCCTATGACTGCGGGGCCTTGCGATGAGGCAGGTGGATTGCTGGAGTTCACTGGCCAGTTAGCCGAGCATCTGAGTGGAGAACCATCAACGGAAGAAGGTCCTGATGTCGGCCTCTGGCCTACACAACATGTATGTGCCCCCGGGTGTTCGTGTGTGCACGAGTGTGTCAGGAACTGACCTGTACTCCGTTAACAGGAAGGTGGGTCAGCAGGACATCGGTCTGGTCTGGTCTCAGCCTCACCCCTAGACTCACAGTGCTCTCTAAGATCCAGATTCGGCCTTGCCTAAGACACACGGTTTGGGCTGCTTAGAACACCGAGGGCAAAGATGGCAGGAAGTGTGCGGCTTCTGTTGACAAGCTCGCAGTTTGGCGTAGGTTTGTGAACAAGGACTGCAGTAACCTGTCCACACGGTCACACATGAGTCTGGCTGGAGATCATCCCCAGAGGCCTGCTACCGGCAGAACCTTGTCTCCAGAGCCTGTAGGCCCCATCATCCGGTGCTGCTGGCTTTGCCCAAGTGCTGTTGCCATCAGGCTCTAGACCTGATGGTGGGAAGTCGTGATGGTGTGCTCGGCACTCTGCCAGGACCCGTGAGCAGCAAGCTCCGACCCTACAAGCACTGCCCCTTTGCCAGGCTGGCCTCAGACTCCTGGACACTAGTGGTCCTCCTCGGCCCTCCTCATCTTTTTGTCTTTGTTCTTTGTGTATGAGTGTTTTGCCTGCATGTGTGTCTTGTGTCCCATATGTGTGTTTGGTGCCTGCCAGTAGCCAGAAGAGGACAGAGGATTCCTTGAACTGGGGTTGCAGCCGCCCTGTGGGTGCTGGTGTCTCCTCAGAACCTCGGAGCTCTCAAAGTTGGACATCCGTGTTGATTCTGAGTGTCGTGAACTCATGCTCATTTTCTGTGGCGCTGTCCTCTTGAAATCCGGGTTTGGGCCTCACACTCCCTGGGCTCCCGCTGGAGACCAGTTCATGCCGCTCATCCTTCAGGCTCCCCTCCGCCCTCCCATTCCCTCCCTGCTGAAGAACAAAGCAGAAAGTGAGCAATGTCATGAGCGGACTTTTCCAAAAACTCTGCCTGTACGTGAGTGTGAGCGTGTCCCACGGCGTGGGTCCTTGCGCCCCACCATGTTTGAGCAGACTCTTGTCGTTGCTGCATATGTCAGGCTTGCTGGTCTGCCGGCTCCCGAGGCTACGCCTCTGTTGCTCCTGGTATTTACGCTGCCCACCAAGCCACCTCCCGGTCCTAAGCAGCTTCCGTGCTGTTGAGTTGTGCGGCCTCACCGTGTCCTAGCCCAGGCTGACTCTATGCTGAGCTTGCCAAGTGCTGGGGCTGCAGGGTGGCCGCACAGCTGTTTTGTTTTCTTGTCACGGCCCCTGGGCAGTATGGCAGGGCAGCTGTGATAGAACGTTTGCGTTTATGTCAGGTACTGAAAGTAATCTAGAGGTGATTTAAAGTCTACAGGAGTGTGTGACCTTAGCTGTGCTAGTCCGAAGACGGTCCAGGCTGAGGCAGAGTACAGCTCGGAGGCCGGCCTGGAACTTAGCTGTCTCAAGGCAAAAGCAGCGAGAGGGTGTGGGGGCGTACACATTTACTCCAGCACCCGGGGGGCAGGGGCGGCTCTGTGAGTTGGGGCCATCCTGGTCTACAGAGCAAGTGCTGCAACAGCAGAGCTTTCCCCTTGCCTGGGGCTGGGAAGGGTCGGGGACCAAACAGACAAACAGAAGATGTCTGGTGAAATGAAATGGCTTAGCAGGTAAAGGTACTTACGGCCGAACCTGGTGGCTCAGGGTCAGTCTCCTAGACCCATGTGGTGGGGGTAGAGGACCAACTTCCTCAGCCTGTTCTCACTTCCACTTGTGCAAACGTGTACATAATAAATAGATGTGAATTTATTTATTTACTTATTTATGGCTTTTTGAGATAAGATTTCTCTGTGTAGCCCTGCCTGCGTCTGCCTCCTGAGTGCTGGGATTAAAGGTGTTCACCACCACTGCCGACCCAAGAATTGTTATTTTTTTTCTTTTAAGTAAAAAGAGAGCTGCAATATCAATATGATGGAAAAAACCTAGAATCTCAGCATCTGGGACGCTAAAGGAGATCAGGAGTTCAAGGCCAGCCTGGGCTGATGAGACCCTACCTCAGCTCTCCTCCCCCACAAAACCTAGTGTTTGTTTTATTTTTGTTTGAGTCGAGAGTCTGGTTATTTAATTTAGGCTAGCCTTGGAACTTCAGTAGAGCCCAGGCTGATCTCAAACTTGAATTTTCCTGCCTCTCCCTCCCAGGGGCTAGGATAGGTTTGTGCTACTCTGCCAACTTTCGCATTTTTTTTTTTTCTGATTTGAGTTGTTTTGAGTCACAGAATTTGTCAGTACCACTTTGTGTTCTGGCTGTCCTAGAACTCAGTGTGTAACCCAGGCTCCCTAGCCTTCCCACCTTAAGCCACTGAGTGCTGGGATTACAGGTGTGAGTCACACAGCTGGCTTGTCTTTCCAAGACAAAAGTGGTTGGTTGGTTGGTTGATTGAGAGGCCCGAGCCCAGCTGGCGTTGCTTTGAGAGAAGGAAAAGGCAGCAGAAGTGAAGCAGCAGGCGGGCAGACTTAGTCGGTGGCTAAACATGGACTGTGTCCTTGGTCAGTGAGTGTGAGCCGGGACTGAGGGCCTGAGAGCTGCCAGCTACACTCTGGCCCAGAACTAATTCTGAAGCTTTCTGTGGGAGGAAAAAGCGTTTTATGGAAACAGGGTTGCGTGTGGGAAGGGCACAAGACTGCAGCCCTCACGTGTGTTAACCGGAGGGTTCTCGAGTGGGGGGTGGCCGTCCTTGTCTCTGAGCGGCTGTGCTGGGAGTCAGGTGGAGCCTAGGTGAGGGCAGTCAGGCCGGCCTTGACTTAGCAGTCCCGGCTGTGGGAAGCGGGCTCTAGTGAGACTGTGAAAATAGAGGACTCTCTCGTGTACGCTGTGTGCAAGTAGGGATGAGTGGGGCGTTACAGGGGCGTTAGGGAGGCCTGAATGCCTGGAAGGGAAGTGGGTTGGGGAATCCACAGGCCTTGACTCCCAAAGCGGCTTGAATGCCAGGTGGGTGGGTGTGAGGATGGGCTGGGCTGTGTGGAGTTTGGCCCAGCCTCTGGGGGGAGCGAGGAAGAAGAATGAGGATGGCTGCTGAGGGGAGGCGTTGCTCAGAGGAGGTAGTTAAGGCGCAGCAGCTCTGTCCCCAGCAGGAGCTGCAGGCCGAGCTGAACACTCCTTCCGGCTGGGGTTCAGCCCTGGCTCCGCCCTGGTGCCTTTGCCTCTCCTGTGGGGCATGGAGATTGTCTCACACCCTTTCTACTAGGCCCCCTTTTAGCATGGGGTCTGAGGAGGTAGGCTGTAAATTGCCCCTGGGCCCACAAGGAGCTTCCATGGAAAGCAGCTCTTACAGGCCAGACGGGGCGCAGAAGGGCTGAGTGAAGGAGATTCCACCTTCCTCGAGACCTACCGCAACTTGGTTTCTTCCAAGTCTTTGTCACCGGGCCAGCCCTCAGCTGAAGATCTTATCTGCTTCTCATAGACCATATGGCTTAATTTGACTACACATTACAGTATATCAAATATTTGTTGTAGTCGTTTTCCTTCCACTTCTCTGTGCATGGGGATCCTGGCCCTGCTGGTCTATAACTGCCTGAAAGGTGCCGAGCACTAGCTTCGGCTCAGTTGTTCACTCGGTGGAGACAGGGCTGCTGGCTTGTTCTTGTCTGCTGGGTTTGGTTCCTGAGCCGTGAAGGGTGGCTAGAATACGGTTGGCCCGTGGGATGCTCAGCAGTACAAGTTAGTGCTCAGGGATTCGCAGCCAAGTGGCACTGCCCTCTGGGTGTGTTTGGTATAAGTGTCACTTGGTGTGGGGTCAGGGATGCTGGCGTCTACAGTCGCGCAGACATTGCCTGGAAGAGTTGTTCTTCCCCTTGTGGTTGTTTCTAGAACCTTTGTGAATTTGCTGTGGGTGCGGAGAGGCCCAGGAGGAACGAGTTAGGCTTCTTCTGTCTCCTGTGTACCTCTGTCTGCCAGGCGCCCCTGAAGGCTATAAGGGCAGACTCTGTGCCACCCTGGAGGTCAGATGCGTGGACTCTGTGCCAGACCATGAGGGCCACTCTCATGCGTCTTCACTGTGCACCCAGTCTCCAAGACAGGAGTAGGGGGGCGGAGGAGCCCCACAGGATCCTCCACACTCTAAGTGACTCAGAGAGGAGCCTGAGAAAACCATTGAAAGGCACCCCGAGAACAGGAGTGGGTGTGCATTGCATGTGTGTGCATTGTGTGTGCATTGTATGTGTGTGTCTGTGTGTGTGCATTGTGTCTGTGTGTGTGCATTGTATGTAGGGGCACAGGAGTAGGTGTGTGTGTGGTGGTGTGGACACAGGATAGAGCTGTGCAGCACACTTGACAGGCGCTTGCCTCGGGTAGTGAGGTTCAGAGGACATGGCTGTGTCCCCACTGTGAGGAGGCAGTGGGCAGTACAGACACAGGGCGCTGCTGTGGGACACAGGGCACTGAGGACTGTTAGGGGACACGGGACACTGCTGCAGGACACGGGATGCTCGTAGGAGACACAGGACTCTGTTAGGGGGGCACAGAATAGACCAGAGCCTGGTGTTCTGGCCCTGACTCCTCCCATAAGCCCTTCTTTTTTCTGCCTCTCTTCAATTTGGAACAAAGAGTGCTTTGACACAAATCGTGTGTATTTAATGTGCACATTTCAGAGAGGCGATTGGGAGCAAGAACTCAGTGTGCAAGAGCTCTGTCCTGGGGTGATCTCAGTTTCCCTCACAGTAGCCCTTCGAGGGGGTCCCGAGCCACGTTTTCAACAAGAGAAGCCACTTGGAAGTTTGGTGACCCGCCTGAGAGCTGAGACGGGAGAGTCAGTGCGCAGCTGGACGGGGACTTGTCTGTCTCCCTGCCGGACCAAAGCCTCTGTTAAATCCCTGTGCTCAGAGGCGGGAGGATGGGGTGGGCGTTGAGGGGAGGGCAGGAGGGCAGTGTCTGGCAGCACCTTACACTGTTTGCTGCTTGTTTCAATTACAAATGTGTAAAATTTCTGTGACCTGTGGCAAATGGGCTTTGTTAAGTTTGCCCAGGACTTGTGAAGTCCTTGGTGACTTTTAGAACATGGCTCATTTAATGGATTAGAGACAGCTGGTATGAAAATGGTTTCTGCCCTCCAAAAAGTGGATGGTTCCAGCTCTGTGTCTTTTTTTTTTTTTTTTTAAGTTTATTTTTATTTTACATACGTGAGACACCATGATTGTGTGCATGGTGTGTCCTGCATGTATGTATGCCTGGTGCCCACGAAAGCTTGAAGGCATGGGAATTCTTGAAACTGGAGTTACAGGTGGTTGTGAGGTACCATATGGGTACCAGGCTGACTCTGGGACCTCTGCCAAAGCAGCAAGTATTCTTAACCACTGGGCCATCTCAGCTCCTAAAAACAAACAATCTAAAAAACTTTCAAAAAATATATACCATCAGACTTTATTATTTTTATTTTTGGTGGGGGGGAGGTTTCTCCAGATAGGTTGTTTGTGTGTAGTCCTGGCTGTCTTGGAACTCACTCTGTGGATGAGGCTGACCTCCAACTCAAAGATCCATCCACCTGCCTCTGCCTTCTGAGTGCTGGGATTAAAGGTGTGCGCCACCACCTCCTGGCTCATTTAGCTATTTTTAGTTTTGAATGTTCGGTTTTGTGTCACTAAGTCAGTTCCATCGCTGTCTTCCAGAGTGCTTCCCAGGTGAGGCTGTGTCCATCAGACACTGGGTGCCCGGCCTTCCCCTCCTCTGTGCAGAGCCAGGCAGAGGCTGGACATGGCAGCTGCTGAGTATGTGTTGAGCTGGTCGAGGTGCTCTGGCTCAGAGTCAGCCATCTCAGCACAGCCCTTCCTGCTAGCTCTGATGCCCAGTGGCTGGTCCCTGGAAGGGTTTTCAGAGGAGAGGGCATCTTGGTGGCATAGGAGGATGGCCAGTAAGGAGAGACGTGGTTTCCTCCTTCAGCTCCACGCAGCTGGCTGGATTCCTGGCCCTCTTCTTCTTGTGTGTAACCAGCCTTTTACCCAGTGCTCGGAGGGGGACGTGTTAGAGCCGTGGTCTCCACCTTCCCAGTGCTGCCACCCTTCAGTAAGTTCCTCATGTCGTGGTGACCCCAGCCATAAAATCACTTGACTGCTACTTCATAACTGCAGTTTTGCTATTGTTCTGAATGGTAATGTAAATGTCTGCGTTTTCTGATGATCCTAGGTGACCCCTAAGGCTCAGTCACCCCCAAAGGGGTCATGACCTTCATGCTGAGAACGGCTGAATTAGAGGAGGTTGGAAAGACCATTTAGATGGTGAAGATAAAATGTAACGGCTCTGCATTTGTGAATAAGGGGTGCATGTGCTATTGAAACAGTTGAGAGTGAGGTCAGGCCTGCCTCCTTAAGGTGTCACACTGGTGGGTGCTCACACCAGTGGACAGACCCAAAGCTTGACCAGTCAGGTGAGCTATTGAGGATGGAAGCAGCTGCTTAGGTGATGCCTGGGAGGCCTCTCGGTCATACTTTGGGGTAGTAACTCAGGAGTGCAGGTGAGTAGGACTGTGGCCTAGATGACAGCTCAGGAGCCTGCTGTTCCAGGCCTTCCCATTTCTCAAGACTGAGTTGGAGGGAAAGCTGTAGATTTCTCTGTTCTTGGGGGCAGCTGTGTGTACTCAGCCTGGTACGAACTGAGGCTGGTGGCTTTTCCTGGATGGAGGTTACCCAACCCTACTATTCAAAGTCTGAATGAAGAAATGTGTTGCTTTTCTTGGAACCTGTCTTGTTGGGTGTTATCCCATAGTCTGATTTGCTGTAGCCATCACCATCCCTCGTAAAGGCAAAAAGGGCCTTTCCTGCGAATGTCTAAAGCAGGACCACTGGACCTTCTTACAGGAGGCAGCAGAAGGCCAAGGGCCAGACTAGAGCTGGGGCTGACCCTGATGGCTGAGTTCCTAGTGACGGGTTGCCCAGTCCCTGACGTGTCTGGCGTGTTCATGGGGGCTGGTCCTCCTGGGTCCTCAGTCCATTCAGCAGGTTAACAAGGAGCACATTGCTACTGCTCGGGTCCCCTGCTTAGAGTCAGCCATCTCAGCACAGCCCTTCCTGCTGGCTCTGATGCACAGTGGCTGGCCCCTGAAAGGCAACCTCCTTGAGTAAAACTGGTGTCTAGAGAATTCCCGGTTGGAGGCCTGTGCATCTTCTGTAGCTGCCTCTGAACAACAGGATCCATGGGGTGGGTATGGCTCTCCCCCCCCAACTCTAGCCTCAGTCTCCCCTGGACTTGGTTTCCTTACCTGCAAAATGATGGGGTGGGAACCCAGTGGCTTCCAGTCAGACTCAGTCAGACTCACCTGTGCAGAGCCAGGCCCTGCCCAGGCTGACTCACGGCACTTAGGTGGGGCCCTGTGTCTTGGTTTTTCTTGCTCAGAAGTCCTTCCTGCCTTCCCTAACTCCTGTTGTCTGGTGTTTTGTTTGTTCCTCTTCAGTGTGTTCTTGATAGGGTCTCACTGTGTGGCCTTGCCTGGCCTCGTGCTCAGAGCTCCGCCTGCCACTGCTTCCCAAGTGCTGGGATTGAAGGCGTGCACCTCACCTGG